GTGAGTTAGAATAATGCTCTACATCCTTCTCCATCTACTGAATTTTTATCACTAAATTTGCTAAGGACATCTTGTGTTAGCCAAATCTAATGACTTCTCTTTCCTCACCCTACCTGACGTTCCTGCATTATCTGGAACTAGTAGCCACTCCTTCTACCTTCTACATCTCTCCTTACTTCTAAGATACTTTCCTATTCTGATCATTTACTTCTCTGACCATTCCTTATAACTCTTGCTGGTCCTTCTGCCTCAGTCTATTTCCAAAATGTTGGCCACCTTCTCCAGGCCTCAAGAATACCTTCCTCTGTTATCTTTTTTCTTTTATTTTCTCTCCCAACCAGTAATTTTATTCAAACGCTAGGCTCCAAACACAAACTAAGCACTGAAGATAGCCATAATACATGGCTCTAGTTCTGTCTTCCTAAGTTCCAGCCCAGTATAGCCATCTGTGACTCCATGTGCCATGTTGAAGGCACTCAACTTATTAGTAAGTACAAAACTGAACCTATTATCTCTCCCCTACAATCTATTCTTCCTCTGCAATTCTTTGGCCAAAAGAAACAAAATGCTTAATTTTCTAGAAGGGCTTTTAAGCAGAAGTGTAAGGACGATAGCATACAGAGCCAAATGATCACAAGCTGAAGTCCACATTTAAATTATCATAGATGGAATAAAAAAGATAGGGTAAAAGATATTCTGGGGCTGAAAGAATAGAATAGAAAATAAAAGAGTGTGTGGGGGGGGTCAGTGGTAAACCTGCCAATGACAGTGGTAGACAGTGGTAGAAAATAGAGATTCATGGAGGCAGGGCTTCACCTTAAACCCTCTGTTCTTCTGGCACTACATCCTTTCCCTGGGTGATCTCAGCTCCTGCAGTGAATTCAACTTCCTGTTCCCAATACTGCATCTCTAGCCCTGATATCTCTCCTGTGTTCCAGACTCATATATCCAAATACCTACTGAGCATCTCCACCAGGATGCCCCACAGGTATCTCAACATCAATGTCTAGAGGAAAACGCATCCCAAACAGCTTCTCCTTATTCCCCATCTAAGTCCATAGCATCACTATCTACTTAGTCCCCTATACCAGAAACCATCAAATATTTTTAAGCTTAAGAGTAGCATGATCATAAAAAACAATTAGGAAGAGATTAGGAATTAAGAGATTAAAGCCAGGGAGACTATTTAGGAAAGACATGGGCATTCCCTAAGTGGGAATAAGTGTCAGAGAAATTTCTGAAGTAGTCTCAACAAGAGTTGGTGACTGACTCAATATAACTTATTAAGGGGGAGGTACGTGGTGATGATGATTTTCAGGTTTCTCTGTTGTGCAACTAGATAAACTATTTACAAACGTGGGGATATACGAGGAGGCAAACTACAGGCCAAATCCTGCCAGCTGCCTGTCTTCCTTAAAAAAGTTTTATTGGAATACAGCCATGCCCATTCTTAGAGGTACTGTCCGCGGCTTCTTTTGTGCTGCAAGCAATCGGGACAGAGATTGTAAAGCCCAGAAAGCCTCAAATATTTACTATCTGGCCCTATACAGGAAAAGTTTGCTGGTCCCTATACCAGAATTCTGGAGCTTCTGCAACAGCAACAATAGATACAGAATCCTCCTCCAGGGTGTGGCGCCATAGGCCACTGAGGGGGTGGGGCTGTTTTGGAACATTCTACTGCCAGGAAGCAGGGTCTTCTCTGGATGGCATGGAACAAACCATTATGAGGGGGGTATTATTTTTACATGAGTCCAAGAACCTTACTTTCTTGGTTCCAAGTCTTTTCTGACCTCTCCTGTTTCTTCCTGATTCCTAGGGCTTTCGGACTGGCAGCCACTTTCCTTATGTCCTGGGTTGGGGGAGGGGGCCTTTCTCATGCACTCCCACCCACCCCCGCAGTCTCTGGAAGTTGGCACAGTCCTAGGGTAAAAAGCCTGGAGAGGTGGCCCTGAGGCTTCTTTTTCCCGGAGGCATCGAAAGCAGAGAGGTGCTCTCTCTCTGTGGTTGTGGTCGGTGGTGCACAGTTGGCCTGCACCGCCACTGTTCCCAGAGAGGTGAGGCCTGGGGGAGGTGTCCTAGGGCGAGGCAAGCTGGTCAGGGCGTCATTCCAAGGGTCGGAAGCGGAGGAGGGGAGGGGAAGAGAGAACACAACAGACTGATCCTTCTCCGCAGGGCCAGCAAAGCCGCTAAGGGCCTCAGCCCTCATGGCCTTGAACCCTGAGGACCCCTGTGGGGGGTTCCACCACGCCAAGGTGGTGACCTTCATCAACGAGAAGATAGCCGGGCACGTGAAAGGCCCCGAGTTCTACCTTGAGAATATGTCCTTGTCCTGGGAGGAGGTGGAGGACAAGCTCAGGGCCATCCTGGAGGACAGCAATGTGCCCAGCGAGGCCAAGGAGGCCTGCACCTGGGGCGGCCTGGCCCTGGGTGTGCGCTTCGTTCGCAGGCAGAGCCAGTTACAGGGGCACAGGGTGCAGCAGCTGTACAACTTCGCCAAGCTGCACAGGTCAGCCACGCAGGCCCTGGCAGCAGACCTCAAGGAACTCAATGCGTAGCAGGAGCTAGAGCGCAAGGAGGCAGCCCTTCAGCTGCAGCTGCTCGAGGCCTCCCTGGCGGAGGTGCAGAAGGAGCGGGACTGGCTGAGGTGGAAGCTCCTCCAAGATGTAAGAGCTGCTCCCAGTCCGGCTCCTCCTCTCCCCCGGCCCCACAAGCCCCTTCCCTTCCTCCATCTAACACCACCCTCCACCACCACCCCTTGGCCCCTCCCTTTGTCCCCGGAACAGGTCTCAACTCTAACCCCCTTCTCCCCAGGAATTGCAGCAGCCCCTGGAGCGGGCCACAGGGTGGCCAAGCCTGGTCACTACTGGTGGGGCTGGGACAGAAGGAGAAGGTGAGGAGGAAGAGGAGGTGGAAGCCACATGGTGGCCAAGCGTGGCAACTGCAGATGTGGCTGGGGCAGAAGGCGGCAAGGAGGAAGAGAAGGCGGTGGCTGCTGCTGCTGATGCCACAGAAGGAGAAGAAGAGAGGGATGCGGCAGGGGCTGCCACCGCCCCTGTTATCGAGGCCGCACAGGAGCTGGGTGGAAGCTTCCTGCAGCTTTTTGGAGCAGTGGGGTGGAAAATTTTCACCTCCAGAGGGCAGAGGGAGGGCGAGCTCAGGTCAGTGGAAACAGCCATGTTTTATTTCTCTGGGGCCATGAAATCCGGGCCCACAGCCTCGCTGGCACCCTTTTCTGTCCAACTCCGTGCCTCATTCACATACTCCTACTCGTGCTCCTTATCCCGATTCCCAGACCCACCCACACCCGCACCAGCCCCACCAGCAGCCACGTTCACAGCAGCGGCTCCACCTCAGATGGCTCCCCACTGAGGGGGCCTCTGATGTTAGCTTTTGATCCCAAAGAGGCAGGAAAGACCAGGAACTCCATCAGCAGAGAAGGCCTCCAGTAGCGCACAGGCTGGGGGATTGGGACTACCCTTGGTGTAAAGCTGTGAATTTTTCACGGAGGGAAATTTGCTTCTGCTGTGGAAGGGGAATCTGGGTACAAAACTTAGTGAATGCAGAAATGTGAACTAGAACAGAAATATATCCTAAGGGGAAATCAATTTTTAGAGGGAGGGGGGAGTGAGAGTAAAGGGGGTAGGAGGGAGGTGAAGTGCGGTTGATGGTGGTGTAGGGGGTGAGGTGGGCTGGGCAGTAGTGGGCAGGGGAGGGTGTAGATGCAGAGGTTGGAGGGGGGGAGAGAGACAGATGTATTCTGAGGGCTCCTTTTGTGTTCCAGAACATTAGCATTCAACACTCCAGAACTAATAGGGCTTCTATTTGTGTGGGCGTCTCCTTGCTACTCCAGTGTCTGATGGACCTAAGCAGGCATGTTTATAACACCCGCCCACATGTAGGCCTTAGATGATTGGACCAGGAGTGGACATTTGACCCATCCGGAGCCTAACAGATTCTCACACTAGAGGCAGATTCCAGAGTCAAGATGGTGTTGGGCAATGGAGCCGTGGGTCACTTGGTGTTGGGGCCAGCTGTGGGGGAGGAGAACTGTGTGCTTTACAGAGGCAAGTATCTTTTAGAAAATGCCAGGATGAGGTCTCAGAGAACAGAGAGGTGTGGAGAAGCAGAAAGGAGTTGATCTGTGACCCTAGAGAAAGTGGCTGTCTGACCACTTTTCCACTTCTGCAGTTATGCTATGTGAAAGTGCCCTTTACATAGATCCCCTTTTCCTTAAGCTGGCTCGACTGGGTTCCTGTTCTAGGCAGCCAGATTATTTCCAAGTCAGAATTTGGTACCAGGAGAGCAGCTGCAAACAACAGACCATCAAAGAAAATGTTAGAACTGGCTGGAGAGGTGCATAGGGGTGGCAGGTAGTGGGGATTTCTGCATCCCAAGAGTTCTGAGGAATTAACTGAATGGAAAGCTCATTCATGTTCTGAGGGAGTTATATCTCAGAGCAGCAATCAGAGCAGGCCTGGGGGTCACCTGGGGTTCATCCTTGACTGAGATCAACATGGCAGAGATTCACCACCCCTAGGGGAATCTCTCAGGGCTGCATACAGAGGATGGCAGCACCAGCTGCAGGCAAGAACTGTAATGGGACTGGAGAAGCCTCCCTAGTCCTCAGTGGGCAGAACTGGGGACAGTCAGATCTGAACAGGGAACTCAATGCCACTGCCAATGAGGTGAGTCAGCAACTGATGGTGCTGGAGCGTTTTCTGGTCTGTCAAAATATGTTTCTCTCCCCCCACCCACCATCATGATTAACATGGGGAGGGGAATCTGACTACAAACCTCTCAGTGAATTCAGCAATGTGAAATAGAAGAGAAACATATCTCAACGGAAAGTCAGTTTCCAGAGGGATGAGGGGAATGGTGAAGGGAGAATGGGGGTGGGTGAGGGGAGGATGATCTGTGTCATGGATTGAATTCTGTCCCCCAAAAAGTGTGTGTATCAGTTTGGCTGGGCCATGATTCCCAGTGTTGTGTGGTTGTCCTCTATTTTGTGACTGTAATTTTATGTTAAAGACGATTAGGGTGGGATTGTAACATCCTTACTGATGTCACATCCCTGATCCAATGTAAAGGGAGTTTCCCTGGGGTGTGGCCTACACCACCTTTTATCTTGCAAGAGATGAAAGGGAAGCAAGCGGAGAGCGGAGGGACCTCATACCACCAAGAAAGCAGTGCCAGGAGCAGAGCGCGTCCTTTGGACCTGAGATTCCTGTGCTGAGATACTCCCAGAACAAGGGAAGACTGATGACAGGGACCTTCCTCCAGAGCTAACGGAGAGAGAAAGCCTTCCCCTGGAGCTGGTGCCGTGAACTTGGACTTTTAGCCTACCTTACTGTGAAGAAATAAATCTCTCTTTGTTAAAGCCATCCACCTGTGGTGTTTGTGTTGCAGCAGCACTAGATGACTAAGACAGTCTGCTTCTCCACCTTTGATGACTATAAGCTGTGTTGGGGTTAAATATATGGTATAGCCCATAGGTGGAAAGACGGTGAGGAATCACACCTGGACCAGAGTGAAACACAACTGAAAGAGGCTTGGACATCACCCTTACTAAAGGTCTTGCACTTGTCAGAAGTATCTTTGGGCTTGTTTGTATTCCTCGAGGGAAAGGTTTCACAAGCTAAACACTCTTGACATTTGGGGCCGGATAATTCTTTGTTGCAGGGGGCTATCCTGTGCATTGTAAGATGTTTAGCAACATCCCTAGCCTCTACCCACTAGATGCCAGTAGCAACCCTCCCCTCAGTTGTGGCAACCAAGAATGTCACCAGATATTACCACGTGTCCACTCAAGGGCAAAATCGCCCCTGGTTGGGAACCATGAAGGCAGTGAGCAGTCAGAACAGGAAAAGAATCAGAAGAGAAGAGGATCATGGAAGCTGAGAAGAAGAGTTTCAAGGGATCGTGTTCAGCAGTGCCCAGGGCTACAGAGGGGTCCCATGTGTCCACTGATCCGGGGCCAAGATGGGGGCAGAAACCAACCTGCAAGGGACTGAGGAGTGAGTAGGAAGTGAGGAGTCTGTGGGGAGAGGCTCTTCTTCAAGGACATTTGGCTGTGAAGGGAAGGAATAAGGTAGGATACACTGTTGAGAGAGGGTTTTTATGAATATGAGAGAAGCGTGAGTCATGGAGGAGATAGCTGAAGAAGCCTTTAAAATGCAAGAAATGTATAAAACAGTGAGGTAAATCCTACATACTGTATTGGTGACATATCCACTGTGTTGTTAAATAGAAGAAAAAAAAGGATCCCTTTTGTTTTTTGCAAAACAAATTCCCAGAATTTCTGTTAAGTTTGTACATGTATGGAGCCCTGGTGGCACAGTGTTTAAGAGCTTGGCTGCCAACCAAAAGGTTGGCAGTGTGAATCCACCAGCTACTCCTTGGAAACCCTATGGGGCAGTTCTACTCTTTCCTGTAGGGTCGCTATGAGTTGGAAGAAACTCGACAGCAAGGGGTTTTGGTTTCTTTTAGTACATGTATACTATGCATAATTATAGATTATGTTTGCCTTACAGATTTATGTTTGAGTAAATGCAGAAAAAAGTCTGGGAAAAACATTCACCAAACAAGATGTTACCAAGGGAGAGGTTGGATCAGGGTCGGGGATGGGAGGTGTTGGGGTGCAGGGCAATCGGGGGGTTTGGGTGGGGAAGAGGGCTATAGGTTGGGGGACTTTTACTTTTTCATATACTTCTGTGATGTGTAAAGTGAAAAATGTTCACAGAAATTTATTTTAAATAAGTAAAAGGAAGTGAATTTACTGGCTTGGTTGGGTTTGGAAGGGCCCCCTCTTCCTCTGGGACAGGAAGGGAAGAGAGCAGACACTGATCTGTGTGGCGGGGGTGGGGAACCAAGGGGGCTCCTGCCTGTGTGTCCCTGATGTAGATAGACGAGGCACCTGAGAGAATGAAGACAGGAGGTCAGGGTAGGGTAGCGGCTTCTAGGCAATGGTACTTTTTGGAATAACTGTGAGGGTGGGAGTAGGGAGTGGGAGGAAAGGACCATCATGCCGTAGGGAGGACCCAATTTGATAGGACCTAACTGAAGAAAAAAAAGGGTGGGGAGGGCAGTGGGAGCAGAGGTGTAGCTAAGGTATGAGGTATGGCACGTGCCCCAGACACCACTTGACGTGGGGCGGGGGCACACACACCACTGAGCAGTTCCTATTAACCATCACAGTTTCCATCGCCAGCTGTGAGAGATCATTTAGCAAGTTAAAACCAATACTTTCGTATTTGAGAGCCTCCATGGGTCAAGGCAGACTGTGATCTTGCTCTGCCGAGTATAGAAAGAGAAGAAACTGACAAAAATGACTTTGGGCACATCATAGACCAATTTTCATCACTGAAAGCAATGAAGGTGCAGTTGTAATTTTCATGTAGTGCCATCATGTGTTAGGTAAAAGATTTAATGAGCTTGACTTGTGTTTTTGAGCTGATGCTATGGTAAAGTTATATAAAAGATGGATGTCAGATGTTTGGACAGGGACACAGAGGCATAGCAAGGCGGGGGGAGGCAGAGGGGGTACTTGCCCCCAGGCGCAAGTCCAAGGGGGCAACAGACGATGTGCAGAATGACATTCTAAGGTGCCACAAATATGAAAGGCGCCTGACTGAGGCAGGTGGACAAGAGGGGGTAAGGCGTTTCCGCTGATGTGTCACCACTATCAACGTCTATTCATCTTGAAATTGGGTGGGGGGTGCAACTTAGCGATTGCCCCTAGGTGCTTGTTACCCTTGCTACACCTCTGCAGGGGTGCAATTTCAGGGCTTTCCATAGGCACTCTCACCTCATACTAACTGCCTTCATGCTGCCTATTTGTTTCTATTAGTACGACTTAGCATATTAGAAAAGGGTTCATTTAACCATATTAAAAACCTCTAGACCCTAGTGATCTGAGGGCTACAGCCAGTAAGTCAACACCAACATGTATTAAGAGTCTGGTCATACATATGTGCGTGTAAGTGTGTGAGGGGGTAGTTCAGGTGTAAGCTTTAGACTGAGTTTAAAAGGAGGAGAGAGATACTGCTTGCCTGAGAGTAAAAGGGAAAGAATGTAAATCTGAAACCTGGCCAAACCACCCCCCTTAAACAGTACCTCTCTAGGGGGAGTCGAGGGAAGGTGTTGGAAAACGGTCAGGATAGTGGGGCTGAAAAATTAAAAATACATATAGTTATCTGTCTACTCAGATGAATGTATATTGCCTTAGTGTTGAAAAGTCTGATCTGGTCTGGAAATGCGCCTGTGTAGATTGGTGTGAACCTGAGTCTTGTTTTAATGAGATCAAGACCCCAGGGTGGAACTACACATCACTCTCCTACTTCGCTTTTCTCTATTTCATAGCCATAGATACAGACAGTACCCACCAAACTTTAAGCTGCTGTCTTGCCAAGGTGGATGCCTCATGACAGTGGTGAGAGAGTGGGGATGGCTCCATGTGGATTCATCTCCCTCCCTGAGAAAAGAAGTTGGAGTACATCCTGTGATTGCCAATGCTGGGATCAGCAGCATCTCCTTTCTTTAATAAGGGTAGGATCATAGAAAGGACTTTACACC